GCGATGGGCCGGGCCAATACGGCGATTTTTAATTATTAATAACTCATAAACTATTGAGAAAATTGCAAAATGGTACAAGACTTTTCGACTCAGTTTGGCTCGTTCTATCTAAATACGAGAAAAGTCCCCACGATTTACGGACACCCTGTATATGCATATACATGTGTATGTCTAGATATATCTATAGATGTCTATGTATGTGTGTAGATATATCTAGGAGCCACGTTTATGTGTGTACGCGCGCGTGGAGTGACGCGACGTAATTGAATTTTTGAAAAAAAAGCGAAACGCATTTAGAGGAAAAGTCGATTACAGGCTGTGCTGCCTGGCGATGTTATCGTAAGAGTAGTTTTGACGGTGGAAAGTGAGGAATAAACGGCGTGACTGAAATTTGTGAATATATATCGAATTTTCGCCAGGATTTAGGATGTGTTCCCATGAGCAAAGAGTTTTTTTTTATCACGATAGGATATGACGGTTTCGCATATTTCGCTTGTCAGTTCGTTCCGGGAACCCTGGAAGAATTCATATTTCTTTGCAAATGATAGGTATTGATACGCAAATAAATCTCAATTGTTCTAGAAAGAAAGTAAATTTTCTCTACTAAATTAGTTTTCCTTAAAAATAATTCTCTCGAGCTTTTGTATAACTGTGGGTTAAACCGCTGTTGGATTGAATTCCTTCAATCATCAAACGCGCGTTTTAAATAGCTTTCAGCCGATAGCGTACTTCGATCGGAAATAACTCTATTCCTGCGAGCGTGAAATTAAACTTAACAAGATCTCGCGAGAAATAAAAACACGTTTTTTTTCTTCTTCCTTTAACTCAGTGAATTTAGTGTCGCATTGGGACTTGCGTAACCGTACCGGCCGCGGTCGGCGGCGCGGCGCTTGATAAAACTACTGGCCGGTCTGGTTTCACCTGCACGTAGAGAAAACGCATTGCATCCGCGTGTAACGCGTCCGGTCTGATTTATCGCGGGATGAGACGTCCGGGGCCCGTCGAACCAACGAGCCCCACCAACGTCAGGGCAGCGTAACGCCGCCGCGACGTGCGTCCGAAATCGTTCCGTTTCCCCGCGGGGAGGTAAGCGCGATAGGCTACCCTAATTTATGGGGTCACCGATGGGAGGAAAGAAGGAGAGGACGAAGGGATGCGGAGTGTAATCAGTCAACTGTATAAACGATGCGGTTCCAGGCGTTTTGTCTGTTTTGCTGTTGCGAAACGATTGCAGAGAAGCAAGAGGTAAGATATTTAAATATATTAACTCGGTTAATTTTTTTTAAATTTCTTGCTCTATAGGACGAATATAATTATCTCGGTTAAACCGACAATTATATCAAGTACACCAAATTGTTATTATAAAGAGTCACTCTATAGCATTACACTACTACGTTGAATGAACTTTAAAAACATAGCTATATATCAAGCAACTACAAGAGAAACGGAGAGAAAGACAATGAACTGCCACTTTAATGCAGGATCAACGCAATATTTTTCAATAAGGAACCCCAAAAACGCATTAACGGATATTCCCCGTATATATATCATGGTGGTAATGACGCGCCTCCACAGCATCGCCACCCCAAAGGCCTGGAATGAGTTCGGTGGAAGTTACTTGCCAAGTCGAGCAAACCTTATAAATGCCATCGTGGAACCATAAACCTATGATGCACGAGCGGTACCGACCACCATGGGGTCGAATTCTGCCGACTTTCAAAGTCTACTTGCTCTTCTCTCTCGTATTTCATGAACGTCGTTAACGACGGCAACGATCGAAACAGAAAGATGTCACCGAATTCATCTTTTTTTTATTAGTGCGAAGGAAATCTCGTCATTTAAATAACAAATATATAAATTGATATCCATAAGCTCAAACTTTGTTTTTATTAGTTGTTGGTTGTAGAGCTTTTTCAATTTATCTGCAAATGTATCAGTTTAAATAAAAAGTTTATAAAAAAATACTACATACATATACAAATAAAATATTTTTTGTGTATTAACTAGTTCTGGCAGCTTTCTCGCTGTTGTGCAAAATTACGTCTGTAGGAGCAAAGTAACCCTTGTTATCCGATTAGCGGCTCGTTATTTAAAACCTTAGTGAACACTGCAAAATAAATTATCGGACGGCCGAACGCGAGAGGGTTTTACGAAGAAGATAAACGGACGGACGAGCGGCGCGTTTTCCGCAAAAGCGTAAAACCAACTGCACGGGCATTCGAAAAGCCATCAGTTATTTCGACGGTATTCGAAGGCAAAGTTGTGCAAGCGATTATCCGAGTTGGTGTAAAAATATCGATTCGTGACAAAGCGATCGCCCATTCCGGCGTACACGCACGATGTATGCGCGTTGGCTGCAACGGGATTCGTGCTGTATCCAGCAGCACAGCCAGCCAGCCAGCCAGCCAACGAGCCAACCGGCTAGCGCGGTTACCGCTTTGACAGTTCGCACAGTTCGAAATCCAATAAAAAGCTAATTGAATCTGTGACGCCACCTGACTTCACTAATGAAATTTCAAAGTACCAATTTCACGTTACACTGTTCTAGCCTACCTGGCGCGCTGGGCTGGCTGGTTGACTGTTCAAGAGTGCCCGGTCGCCTCGCGGAAAATCCTAAATTGGAACAAAATGAGCTACCGTGCTAGATCCGCGCGATCCCGGTTTAATTATAATTCGTGGCTGATTTGACGTTTACTAGATCCGGCAACCTCGAATGATGTGAGAGACGATAAAACGGCGAGCCGAACGCCCGTTTGATTTCATATTTCATTTAATTTATGGATAAAAAGGAAGAGATCGATTTTCAGGCTTTGTGCGACACGACGAAAAATAGAAATTAGAACTGAAGTACGTACTCGTAGAAGAAATTGAAAACAAAAATATCTGCTTCTCAAAAGGGAGAAACAATACGAAATGAGAAAATATCAGTTTTGTCAATAAAAACATAAAATAAAGCTGTATTTTATTTTAGATAAAATATCTAAAATACTTTTAATAGAAAAATAAAATATTTCGAGTTTTTAAATAAAAACACAGTAAAAGCATGAATCAAAGACGTACTCTATATTTCGCACAAATCCACTTTTACTAAAAAATATTATTTTGTTCGCCGATGTCATGTGGTAATTAATACGATGACGTATTATAAAACTGTAATCCGCTTTTATAATAGATTAAATTCTGTTATTTAGACACTATAAATGGTCGGACGGTTGGGTATACACGCCAAAGTAGCGTAACTCGTAAAATCTACACGTAGCGCAACTTTCTCGCGGAAGCCTTTTAACTCGTTGCATAAGCCAGCCGTCTGCAGATGCATCTCCAGCAACGCGACATAATTTTTCGGAAGTTTTGGCGAATCTCGCGTTCGCGTTGTTACGTTTCTCCGGCCCTCCTGGCCTGTGCCGGCGTATTTCATTCTCCGCGCGTCGCATTCGTTCGTTGTCTTCGGGTCGGAGGGAGGGACTGGTGGAACAGGAAAAACTACGAGGCGTTTTTCGTATCGCGAGCACGTGCGGGCCGAGGTTAATTTCGGGAGACGAATGTCACTTCTTAAACTCGTCGTGTTTTCCACCTCTTCTCCTCTCATCCCCCCCAAAAAAAAGTTTTTCAAGCATAATTGCGCCCGCTCCTTGCGCGACGCCGCCGCATAATTTCGGTCCACGCGGAAAATATCGTGGCTACACGGTGTTTCGGAAGAGTCCCGGCGAAGCGGCACAATCTCCCGACTTTGCGTCATAAGATTTTTTTCAAGAAAAAATTCCTCTCTACCCGACGGTTGTAACATCCTGGGGGAACAGTTGGCGGATTCTTCTCTCGTGTTGCGACCAAGGACGCATTTATATGAGAGGAAAAATATGACGTATATCGTTACGATGAAAATTGTTATAATGCTGACCTCAAAATCGAAATTGCTTTCCAAATGATTGAGCTTTACAGACTGTGAGGTGAAACGCAATTATTGGTCGGGTGAGCTGATGTTTCGGACATAACGTTATGTAATAC